GGGCAGCCCCACATCTGATGCCAGGCACTGGCCCTGGGAAAGCCATCTGACCACCACGAGTGTGGGTCACATGCGTCAGGTCACGTACTCTATACTAGCTGGGTCTGACTAACAGTGCCCAGCAGTAAGTCCTCCTGCCCTGCAGTCTCCCCACACCAGGTGGGATGAGATAGAAGAAGCCCCTCCAACTCCTACTGCCCTATGTGCATCCTGGACCCCGAGGTGTCTGAGGGTGGAGTGGCGCTGGCTCTGAGGGGAAATCTGCATGACATGGGACAATGGGGCACCTCCCCCAGGTACCTGGGGTGACTGTGGAAAGGAAAAATTGCAGGAAATGGGAGTTCAGAACAGACATGGGACCAAGCTCTGGAGATGGAGTGAGGACGCTGGACTTCAACACCTTCCTCAGAAGATTATTTACTCCATTTTGTGACAGGCTTGCTTGTAATTGTGACATGCTTGTAATGACTGTAGCCCTTCCCAGCTCCCAGGTCATCAGGAAGATCAAGGAGAAGGGCCTGAACAACACCCTGCACCCTGCGGAGCTGCTGAGATGAGAAGGGAGAGAGTGAGGCAGCCACGGGTCTCGTGAGAGAGTCGGGCTTCTCCTTGGAGATGGACCTGGTGGGCGGAGGAAGGCGTTACTGCGCTGCTGAGCCAAGAGCTCTGCTCTTAGCCTCTTCCAAGATGATGGCTAGTCCCAGCAGGGAGGGGAGAGCCCTGCTCCCTGATCCAGGCATTGGTGAATGGAGCAGAGAGGGCAGAGGCCCACAGAGTGGGGTCCCAAGGGAGGCATCGCTCTGGGACCCCAAGTTCTTCCTACCGTCTGCTGTGGAGGAGGCTGGTTGGATCCCCTTCACAGGGATGAAGAGAATGCTCCAGCTGCCCAATCAGCTTATGAGAAAACTGTGCTTAGTTAGAGTCTCTACACTCCTAGAAGCCAGTATGGACAGGCAGAGGGAAAGCTGGTAGGGCCGTGGGCAGGTGGGTTTCACAGAGGCAAGGCTCATCCTTTACTGGAGAGAAATCACAGGAGGCCATCCGGGACCACGAGGACAAATGTGCCTTCCGTAGAGGTCTGTCTGACAATCTGGGGGAAGGACTGGAGCGGGAGAGACTGGAGGCAGGGAGGACAGCACAGGGAGGGTAGGCCAGTCTGGGAGAGAGAAGATGGTGGCCTCAACTAGAGGAGGGATGGGGGACAGAGAGGGGTGAAGTCTTGAGAGCTCTGCTGGGGGTAGAGTGGATACTCTCAGGGGTCTGACCTGGCTCTGGAAGGTGACAGAGATGGATAAGTCTAGTAGGGCCCCACGTTTCTAGCTTGAGTTCGTGGACATTGGTACCATTAGCTTTGGATGAAGGAACAGGAGTGAGGTTCAAGGAGCAGATGATAAGTTCCCTGAGACCCGCACCCAGCGGGATGTCAGATGTGCTGGAAGCATCCTGTCAATGTTTGCTGTGCTGTGGAGCAGCGTGAACAGGGTAGACCAGAAAGACGCGCAGACCAAGGAAACCAGGAAACAAAGAGGCAGCCACAGAAAACCAGAGACCACTACAATGTCAGAGCTCCCAGGGTCTCCACGCACAGGCAGGACAGGCCGCGGGCCGCAGGCCCGAGCTGAGGCTGCACAGCTAATCAGTGGGAGAGACCCAGGTCTCCCAACCCCCTGTCCAAGGCTCTCTCTCTCTCCTCTGTCCCCCAACCGGTCCCCCCCAAATGGCCCCCTAGACTTTCTCAGGTCTGGTTCTAAATAACAAGCATGAGCCCGTGGCAGCAGGCTGCCAGGCTGTCTGTGCAACTACAGGATGAAGGCTGGGACTACCTGACAGCCACAGTGAAGGATTCTCAGACACCCCCCACCAAGGCCACTGCAGACGATCCAGGCTGACCTCTGCCTTCCCTGCAGTCACAACCCCTGTGGCCAGCTCAGGGAGGGCTCCCTGGGGATTCAGACTCAGGAGGAGACATCCCTGGGACAGCGATAACTGACACAGCCACAAACCAGCAGCGCTGTCAAAAAGACTGAGCCCCATGACGAGATTCATCCCCCACACCTACACCAGGTGTCCCAGTTGCCAAGACTCATCCAAAAGCCACTAATAAGTGAGAATCATTCCATGCTCCCTCTGTGTGAGGTGTGGATGTTGTAATGACTGTAGCCCTTCCCAGCTCCCAGGTCAGCAAATCCAGGAAGGAGCCATTATGGTCATCTTTCCACAACTGAGTAACCCGAGGCTCAGAGACATTAGGTAACTTGCCCAAAGTGGCACAGCAGGTACATGAAGGAACTGGGGCCTCAAACCCCAGCCCGATACCTTTAAAGCTCAGATGCTGCAGCACCGGTCCCAGGATTTTCTGACTTCTGGTCCAGGGCAATTTGTACCACCTCCCATCTTGTTTTTAGTAAGGTTTGAAGACCAAGTGGAAATGTTAAAAAAGATAATATACATGGAAGTGACTATGAATGGTAAAGCACATTAGAAACATCAGGCATTGCTATTATTCTGTTTTTATTCAGGGTTAGGCTTCTATTTTGCCAATTTTTGATTAAATAAATCACCATCAACTACCACCATCATTTCATAAAAAAAGAAGTATTTGAACGCCCACATTTTAGGCAGGACATGATTGCCTCTACTTAAACATGCATGTTTTTCAGCCAGCTCCGGAAGGCACCAAACATCTGGTCAATTCAACTGTGTCTGCGGATAATAGAGCTGTGGTTTGGCATCCGGCAGACAGCCCCACGGCAGGCAGGTGACTGTGCGTTTCACTTTGAGGCTGCAGTATTGTGTCTTCTTCTTAGAGGCCCAGAAGGAACGGTCTGGGCTCTTTTCCTCTCTCCCGTTCCTGACATCCCCGCTATTATTAATCATGTTTTCTTTATCTATGACGTGTTGACATCTTGGGGGCGCCTAGCTGGCCAGGGGGAGCCTGCCCCTCCCAAGGGCATGCTAATTCCTGGAGACAATAAACATGAAGTTCACCTTCCATATGCACACCAACCAGCCCACCTCCTTTATCTAACTCTCACACACCGTGCCAATATTCCCCCTGCCCTAAATTACCCCAGGGCCAGGTATCAATTAGAGATCAGCCCTGCAGCCCAGAGTTGCAGATGTCTGCGGCTCCCGGCTACAGGGGTGGTCTCTCAGCCAGTCCTAAGGGGTCCGTGTCCCATGCCCTGCCCTCATTTCCCTCCAAAAACACAATAAAGGCTCTGGCCCATGCTGTCCACATGCTCCTTCTACCCCCGATCAGACTTCTGCTTCCACTGTGGCCCTGCATGGTGTGGCATGTCCCCTCCTCTTGGGAACTGTACATAATAAATTCTTCCAGTGGCACTGACCTCTCCATGTTGTCACTCAGTTACCTCTATAAATTAAAATCTCAGGGTACATTTTAATACAACGTCTCCCCCTCCCCTGGCTGAGCTCACGCTCCTTACACTCTATGAGGATGCAGGAGAGAGACCACCCCCCCACCACCACCACCACCCCCACGCCCCCACGCCACACTCCCGTGCCCTTGCCCACTTAACTTGTGGCCTGCGCCTTGAGGGTGCCCCTGACAGAGACACTCATGCCTCCCACCCTGAGGGACTTTGTCTATGAATTCCCACTGGATGCTAGACACATAGAAAGCTTCTCAGGAGGCCTGGGTGTCTACTCGGGGCTGGAGCCAGGCCATGAGAAGCTGGCACTGCAGGTATCCCTAGTGCACGTGAAGGAGGGAAGAGCTTGGAGGGAGGCCTCAAGGAAGGCTTGCACCTGGGGAGGGGGTGGGCAGAGTGGGTTGAACCCCCTGCGGAAAAGCAGAGCTTGCCACCCCACAATATACCTCTTGAGATATTATTTCAAGCTGGTGATGTTTACGAAACAAAAGACTCCCCTCTGTGTCCCATTGTTCAGGGTGGCCCAGCAAGAATTTGTTTACCTCGTGCTTGTTCCTTATCTACCTTTGAATTGCCTTCCTTCCCTTTGAAGTCCCAGACCCCTGCCTCCCTCTCTTTGGTCCAAAATGGCATATAAGCCTCAACTGCTTAATGGGTCCCATGTTCTTAACGAACCCCCATATGTACATACACAGTAAATTTGGCCATTGTTTCTATTAATCTGTCTCATGTCAATTTGAATATTAGTCCAGCTAGAAGAACTTAGAAGGGTAGAAAGGAAATTAGTTTTCCTCCCCTATGTCCCCAAAGTGGCAATCACAGATCAAAAGAGCAGGAGAGAGAAGTAAGGAAAGTTCTAAGCATACATTCTCCCATCACTCCCAAACATACACGTAGACTCCTCTCCCTGCACCCAGCCCCATGTGAAACTCAACACTGCCCAAAGCAAAGATGTTTGGCTGACAGTGCCCACCAAGTCCACCCCAACCTCCAGGAACAATGTCCTGAGGTTACTGTGTCAGCAAAATGACATCTTTGCCAAGTCTTTCCTGGGTCCAATCCTGTGCTCATCCTCCCGAGAAAACACAGGCAGAAGGGACTCTGGGGAAGTCTGTATGATACAAGGATGACAAGGCCTTAGGAGGGCTCTGGGCTCTGTAGGCATGGCCTCTGAGTGACGGGATGTAAGAATCATAACCCTGGCACAACCCTTGAACGAGGGGCCTCTGACACCACCTGGGTTCTTGGAAATTGTGTCACACAAAGAGGACGGTCTCAAAGGTTCAGGAGGGTTTGTTTCCCATTCCTGTCCTCTTCTCTCTCTGCCCACGTGCCAAGGACACACACAAGACTTTCTAGGGCTCAGCCTCCCAGCCCACTAGCCTCAGGCCCTCACCCTGGCTCTGACGTCTGAGCTACCCAGTGTGTGGGAACTCAGGAAGCAAGGGTTCAACTCATGGGGCAGAGAGTATTCCCAGGCCCTCCAATCCTGCCTGCGGGCGCAGAGGTGGTGAAGACCCTACCATCCTCTGAGCTCTGAGTGGACCAGAGCTTGGACCCATCCAAGGGAAAGAAAAGACTGTTTGGGGGACAGGCTTAACTCACGCTGCTTCTCCTGGAGGATGCTGGACGTGCAAGGCCCACTCCCTTCTCCTGCAGAAAAAAAAAGAAAGAAACATGAGCAGACTCCTCCATCACCGTCAACCAGACACTGGAAAGCCACTTGTGGTTGCCTCTGCCCTCCTCTCAATGCCCCCGTCCCAGAGCCAGGGTGGACTAAGGTCTCTCCCACCCCCTCATGCCCTGCCCCACCCACCCCTGCCATGCTTAGCTCTTGCTTCTTTATGCAAGACAAAGTCTAGGGCCATGATGTCGTTGCCTGGACAGGTGTGGCCTGGCCACCTTTCACCTCAGCCTTCTTCACTGGCATCTCCTCTCCTCCCACCTTCATAAAGCACCTGCCCTCTAACAGTCAGCATGGAACATACCGGTGCAGATAACTGCCACATCTCTGTATCTAGTCTAGCCCTCGCTTCTAAGTTCTTGACCCAAATCTCCTGCTGCCCCCCAGACATCAGCTCTGCATGCTCCTCAGGTAGCGCGCACCCCCCATGAGCACAGGAGGCTCCTGGAGCTGCCCCTCTTCCCAAGTCCCCACCTCAGAGAAGGCATCGCCTGCTCCCCCAGCCTAGGAGTCAGCCCTGCCCCTTTCCCCTCCCTTGTCCCCACATTCAGTCAGTCACGGGATGCTGTGGGGTCTGCCCACTTATCTCCTCACTACTCTCCCCCTTTCACAAGATATGGAGTCCACAATGGAAGGTATTTCTATGTTGTTCATTGGTGTGTCCCCAGGCCTAGGACAGTGCTTTTCAATCAATGTTTGTTGAATGAATAAACAAATGAACCCCCGCCCCAAACACACACACATACTACCCAAATACAGGACTCCATCCTGCCTCTTTGGACTATCTCAATAGCTCTGCCTTTTAATGAGGAGCTTTGTTTCTCTAATTATGAAAGTAATGCAAGCTCCTTATTGATAATTTGGAAAACACTAATAAACAAAAAGAAGAAGAAGATTCCTTATAATCCCATCAGACAGAAAACCATGGATCCCATTTTATGTCATTCCTCCCAGTCTTTTTCCCTAATTTTGGGGCCTATTGAGATCATATCAGCTCTTTGCAGGCAGGAACTATCACTTGTCTCTGTATTCCCAATAACTAGCTCACGGAAGGCATCGTATGTGATAAAGAAGCACAAAATACACTTTCTATACTTCAAATTAAAGCATAACTAGTTCCCAGTAAAGTTATAAAACCTCTGATATGTCAGTCCAACATTCTTCTACTGAGAGGATACATCATGGTTGACTTAAAAATTATCCTACCAGTGAAAAGTTTCAAAATTTCACCTTTGTAATTACTTCTGCAATGAACATCTTTGTGGTTGGTGCTCTTTCTGCATTTTCAATGATTTCCTTAAAATGCATCCACAGAAGGAGGATTCTGGGCCCGAGGGTAGGAACCTGTAAGGCTCCTGCTGTTATTGACTGATTGCTTTCCAGTGAGGTGTACCTTCTGCTTTGCACACCCACCTGCAGCAGAAGTAAGTGCTGTTCTCAACAGATACTTCCCCAGCATTTCTATTGATCTGTTGAATTCCTCTGCCTCTGGTTTCAGCAGATTAATTTTTTCTAAAGCCAGCTGGCCCAGGCCACTCTATTGCTTAACATCCTCCAGTGGCTCCCCGTCATCAAATTCCGAGCCTGGCAAACAAGCCTGTCCATAGAGTGGCCCCTGCCCATCTCCCCAGCCTTTCCCCACCCCTTCCTGCCCCCCCTCCACCAGCCAAATCACTGTTTTTGGATCTGCATTCATGGCACAGCCTGCACACCTTTACCTGTTCTTCTACCTGCCTCTGTCAAACTCACTGGACCCTGCGAGCTGGGATGAGAGCCAACCCTGGGGCCGCCTCTTCCATGACACTTCAATTCTTCCCCAGAAACCTCAATTTTCAGAACCTCTGTCCTCAAAGGTCAGCTCTGGGCTCCAAGGGCCAGCACAGGGTCAGGTTCAGCCAGGGCCAGTTCCCTCCCCTCTTGAATGCTCTCCGTGCGCCCACCCCACCTGACTGGCAGGCTCAAAAGGGCCATAAGCCCGAACCCCCAGGAGCAGAAAGATCCCTGTACCCACAGTGAGACTGGGGTATGAGAAGTGGAGCACCCAGCCCCCAGCCCCCTGGGACCCCAGTCAGTCAGCAGCTCTGTCTGAGCCCCCAAGTCTCTGCAGTCAGAGGGAGCCTCTTGGTGTCAGGTCTCGCTCTATTGCACTGTGCGTTTCGGCCTCAATTATTCTCACCTGTCCAATGGAAGACTGCACTCTACCATGCTGAAAGGCCCCCCAGTTCTGCTTTTCCTGCTTCCCAGGGCGAAGTGTCTTGGGCCTGGGGGATGGCACAAAAGTGGCTGGACTGTGGTCTGGGATATAAGTAAGCAATGTAGAGGCCATGCCTTCAGCCTGAAAATTCTAGCTCTCAGATCTAGAAGCAGGATCCTGCTGCCTGGTAGGACCATCTCTCCTGAACTTGACCATGCCACAAGAACCTAGAGCGACCAGGCCTTCCCCACCCCCAGCTTCCTAAGCAAGCCTGAGTTCCCCCCCAGAAATGTGTCCACAGCTTCTCCGAGGACCTCGATTCTCTGAGGGGAAAGCCAGGAGGAAGTGTCGTTGAGATGTTAGTGTGCAGAATTCACATGGTCACCTACATGGATAGGAGGGAGAATGTTAGGAAAGGAGTTAAGAGCCAACCCGGGCCGGCCGAGTGGCGCGATGGTTAAGAACTGGCTTGGGATGCCAGAGGGCCCCGGTTCGGATCCCACATATGAGAGCCAGTGACACTGCCCTCCACAGCTAAGATGCTGAACAACAGCTCAACCTGGAGCTGGGCTGCAGTGAGTCGCCAGCAACGGCGTAGGCTGCAGCCCCTGTGGTAGTGGGTTGCCATGGGCTACCGTATGTAGCCAGCAGCCAGCGTGAGCGGCCAGCAGCCGCAGTGAGCGGCCGTCCAGAAGCCGGCGACTGATCTGCCTCGCCTGGGAAGAGTGCGATGATGGTGCCAACTTGGGCCAGTGAAGCAACGTCCTCCACAACTAGACTGAAGAACAAAACGACAGCAACTTGTCTGTTCCCCTTCCCCCAATTCCCCAGCATTGTTCCCATCCCCCCAATTCCCCAATAAAAATTAAAAAAAAAAAAAGAGTCAACCCAATGAGCATGGGCTCAGTTGTGTACGTGGAAAAGGCTGTCCCTGGGCATATGGAAGCTTTATGGCTTGCTCAGTGCTTCCCACTCATGAGAGCATCATGATTTCACACCTGTGCGGAAAAGGTCCCCTGCCCAGATAAGGAAACAGAGACTCAGAAGGATAGTCACTTCCCCAATGTTTACATCTGGCCCCTTTGACACCCTGGCCCTGTGGGGGGGAGGGGGGGTGCTCCTCTCATAACCTCACCTCTGCCCCCTGTAGGGTTTGGGGGAGGCTTTCTAGAGCAGAGGTCTCCTGGGATGGCCTAGGTGGTGAGGGCAGTGCTTCCTGAAGTGGGGAGTCATCGAGGCAGACAAAGGCCGTGACAAGTCAGGGGCCGAGGAGGGGAAAGCAGGGGCCGTGCAGAAGTGGGGATTTGCAAAGGGCGCTGGGGAGAAGCATCCAGAGGCTTTAGCCAACCCATGTTCCTCGGGCTTCATCTCTTCTGCAGAGAAGCCCGAGCCAGGCATTGAGGGGCAGGGGGCCGGTGAGGCCACGGCCTGGCCGGGGAGGAGCTTGCTGGTTGACAAGGTGAGCGCAGGAGCCCGCACAGCGGGGAGCAGGCCTCCCCTGCCCAGCCCCAGCACCGGCTGTCTCCCCTCCAGCCACCAGCCAGTGAGCGGAGGAGTCAGCTGTGAGCCCCGCTTCCTGATTAGCGCACTCCCAGGATGAGGGTGATTAACCAAATCTGCAGCTGGCACAGCCACCGCCTAAATGAGACCCCACTTGGCCTAGAGCTTTCCAGGGCCCCTGGGCCCCACAGCTTTGCCTCAGCTGGAGCTTCCGTCATATGCAGAAGCTGCCTGGCAGGCTACACACAGAAGGCCGGGAGCCTGGGAACCAGGAAGGCAGGGCCTTGGTCGTCTGCCCCAGGCTCAGTGGGCCGCTAATCCTGCCTGTTACAAACCCCACCACTCTGGGCATCTGAGCCACATCATCTCCTTCAATGGCTTCCTGAGCGCTTTTGTTTCCTTTTCTCAATTCCCTTCCAAGAAACCAAGCTCCCTGAGAGCAAGAGGTAGCCAAGGTCAGAAGCGCTTTCGCTAACCACTTGAAACAGGGGCATCTTCCTGCCCCTAAGGGCGGGGGGTTAGGTGGCTGCTGCAGAAGCAGTTCAGACAGATGGGCCTTGCAGAAGAAGAAACTGGGAATTCTCCTCCTGACGCTCCAGAAAGCATCTGCAGCCCCCATGGAGCAGGAATGGGCGCAGATGAAACCCTATGATTTGTAGGTCTTGGGGGTTCCAACCAGGCTCTGGCCCAGCCTGGTCACTCAGCTCGTGGAGTATGGCTGACAAGGAAATACCCACACACTCCCGCCCTGCTCAGGGTGTCCCCCAAACACTGAGCTTCTGCTGAGTTGCAGGGCCAAGGTTCACCCTCACTACCTCTCATATGTCCCATCACAATCCCTCTATACTCATTCCTTGGCCCCCCTATAATCTTTCTCATTGGCTTCCAGAATGATCTTTCCAAAAAGTGGCTTTTGGGGGCCGGCTAAGTGGCTCAGTTGGTTAGAACGCGAGCTCTGAGCAACAGGGTCACTGGTTCGATTCCCACATGGGCCAGTGAGCTGTGCCTGAGCTGAGCTGCCGCGTTGGCAGCCAGATGGTTCAGCTGGTGAGAGTGCGTGCTCTTAACAACAAGGTTGCCAGTTTGACTCCCGCATGGGATGGTGGGCTGCGCCCCCTCCACCGCCCCTCCCCCCCAGCCACACACACAACTAGATTGAAAGCAGCAACTGGACTTGGAGCTGAGCTGCACCCTCCACAACTAAGATTGAAGGACAACAACTTGACTTGGAGCTGATAAGTCTTGGAAAAACACAATGTTCCCCTTCCTGATTCC